TCTTCCCCAAGTCGAAAGGAGTTAACACTCAGATTAAAGGAAAAACCAACTGCATCTATAAAGTCTGCTGCTATATCTTTTAGAAAACACACGATTGTTATTCTTGAGGGGCAAGAAAGAAAAAAAAAAAAAACCTAGTAAAACTAAAGCAGGAACTCTCAAATTGATAAATAGGTGAGAGAAAGAATCTTACCTGTAATTTTAGTCCTTCAGCCTTGCTTTCAGAGGGATACGATAACTTATAATGGCATGAAGCTCTCAAGATTTCTCCATTGGCAACGCCAGTGTGGGTCTTTGCTCCTTACTGTTATTTCTCCTTCCTTTTTCACCATCGTTCTCTTCTTGTTCATCCCTACTGTGTATACTTCGTAAGTGAAGTTAAGTATATATATATATGGCGTGAAGTGCATGGGGGTGCTAACAATGGAGGCTGTGATGTGCACTCGTGTGTGTGTGTATAAGTTTTCCAAAACTAGGGACTAAGGCTTGAAATGAGTATAGGAAGTGTTTATTTTTTCATTACACTGTTGTTTTTCTCTGACTTCTTTTAGTCCCCTGGCGCTAGAAGAAGGGTTGATTTCGGTCAAAAAATGAGAGAGGAGCTGCTGGCAACAATGGAAAAAGGCTGTGAAGAGGTGTGGTTTTAGGGCAGTGTTTTTGACAGTGGAGATGGTGCTGCTGGTGCTGTGTTTGGATGCAACACGAGAAGATGAAGTGCTGGAACCGGAGGCTGAGGACTCTACAGGTGCTGGACTGCTGCTGGAGGCACACAGTGATGCGCTGTTGGACTGTCGCTGGTGCAGAGGAGGAGCTGCCGTGTAGATAAGCTGAGGCTGCTGATGCTGAGGAGGAGCAGTCGGCCTGAGATGCTGCTGGAGCTGAGATTATCGGGCTGGAACGAAGGAAGAAATTACTGATGCAGAGCTTGGAGTAGGGGAAGATGAAGCTTACGAAGAGTCCCAATTGTTGCTATCTATTTTTTGCCCAATAAAATCAAGAAAAAAATATAAAAAAAATCTAAAAATATAAGAGAATACACATGAAGAGAAAGAATGAGAAAAATTGGGAACACATTGCACTCAATACTGGGCTAGAGGCTTTGAAAAACGATTTTAATAATTACTAATAAATAGCTGATATATCTTAAAAAATCCAAGCTGAATACATTAAATAATATGAAAGGATATACAAGAAACATGTAATACTAAAAAGTAAATTTGCCGAGTAAAAGCAAAAGAAAAAGTTGTTAGGATCAAAATTGATTTGAATAAAATAAAAAATGAGATTAACCGACTAGAAAAAAAGCTCGATAAAAAAAATGTTGAGGGAAAGCATTTGAAAGAAAAGAACGAATTGCTTAAGCACTATAATCAAAGAATTGACACCAACAACAATCAATTGAATAGTAACAACATGTTTCTCTTAAAAAATATGAGAAACATGAATGAGCAAATTAACTAAGCCTCTGTCTATACCAAAAGAAAGAAACCAAGCATGATTGAGACTAATGTTTTTTTTAGGGACATAAAGAACAATGGTTTTGCCTCTCTCCTTATAAACAATGATGGTGAGCATACTAAATTTTAAATGTAAAATTTTTCATTAAGTATTAATGAAAAAGGCTTAGATTCAACTTTATGAGCAATATCTCTTTATGATGAATGTATTTTTTAAGGATTTACTCAAATTAAATTGTCTTGACAGCTATAAAAGAATTGAAACCCTTTCTGTTTATAAAGGAATGATGGCCATATATGATCCAATGATATAGCTAATCTATATCTAAAGTACATTATCATGTATAATTATACATCTATATGCATCTACATATATGAATTATGGAATGTGCATGGAAAATATTCTAAATTTAGGTCCTTTAAATCTAGTTTTTCTTTAAAGAGTTAAAAGTTACCAACATTTGATGATGTTAAAGAGGATTTGCTCAACTTTCAATCTAGAACTCTAATTTTTAGAGTTTAAGCAAACAACATATCATTCATTGCTAATGAAAAAACTAAGTGATATATCATATGTCCCTATTTTATTATATTCTTCAATTTTGAAGGCTGATCGAGTTGCCACCTTCAGCTAAATGAATATAGCATCTCCGACCACTCCAGGGACTCTAACCACCATTATTCGACACAAGAGCTTCCTCTCTATAAGGATATGCTACATTTGTTCAATATTTTTGCCCCACATGCCATGTAGAAGCCCTCAACTTCTTGTCCCAAAGTAGCCTTGTCTGGTTCAATAAAATTTAGCAGTATTGTTACACCCAACTTTGGATCGATGGTGGGAAAGCTATAAGTCACCAAATCAATCATGGTTTGATATAGTTAGAGAATAACACCTTGTTTATAAGATCTATATCTTGGTCTGCTTCAATGATCCTTTATTTTCCAACATTAATTCATTGAAGGTGCACCTATAATTAGCTATTTTTGACTATGTTTCAATTATAAAGTTCCCAACCTTCCTCTAGAAGCTAAGATTTGTTAGACATCCATAAAAATGGAAAACAAA